GAATCTTTTTTCTTCATCATATTTATTTTCACTATCAAGGTAGCCTTTCAGATTATTGAGAAGGACGCCAACATAAATGTGGCAGCGTTGGCAGCGAAGTGCATGAAAGGTGTTGCCGAGGGTTTACGAAAAAAGGTTGGTTTTAAGAAAAGTTCATGCGTGATTCACTCTTGAATTCCAGATGCTTCGTGTTCAAAGATTTCGTAGTTTTGTTCCTTTTCAGTTTGCACCCCACGCTCCTTCGGTGGTACCTGCAGTTTTTGACAAATTCAAAGAGAAGAAGCCACTACTGCGTGATCCTTTGGTTGAATGTATCGACGCCATTTTTGCCACGGTACGATTGGCGTTTGGTAACACAAGAAGCTCTCCCATCTATATCTTTTGATTTTCAGACAACGCTTGAAGCGATAGGAGAGGATATCCTTGTTGCACTTGAGAAGCCGAATCCAAATATAAAAATTCAAACCGATCTGTTTCTCTACAGGTTCGCATATTCCGCATATTGTTCTCTCATGCTGTCTAACTTCCTAATCCCACTTGGATTACTCGTCCACATCTGAAGAAGTAGTGCTTCAGGGCTTTCAAGCTTCTCAACGCTCAAACTATGCCAAAGAAAACTCTCAAGTCCATCGCACCGTTGTTGATAAAGGTGATTCTCGTTGAGTAGTACCAATTGTAAGAGTAGGACCTGTCGCTTTAGCAGTGATTATGGGAATTGCACTGATTATTCTCTTTCAGCACACAGCTGACTCGGATGCTGAAGTTCGTGACGCCTCTTATGCTGCACTAGGTTCTGCTATGCGTGCTATCGGGGAAAAGCCCTGCTTACCACTGTTAACAGACATTCTCGAGGACAAGCTGAAAATGGGAAAGGTTTGTATTATTTCTAAGGCTTGCTGATGTTATGCGAATCTCATTTTCTGAGGATTTTCAGATAAAAGAATTCTACCAAAAAGCATGCGAAGAAGCTGGACCGGAAGTGATCACGCAGATGGTTCAATCAATTCATAAAGCTGACGTGAGTGTTTGCTGTGAGCCCGCTTGGTAGATTAGTCGCTTTCCAAGTGATGTGCGTTGTGCGCGATTTTGACGTTTTCGGTACCTTCCGTTGGCTTCTTTCCAAGATTCACTTATTTTGGTTGCTATGTTATACTGTACTGTGTTGTGTTGTGTTGCTATTGTGGCTGTGTGTAGGCTGCTCCTCCTCCATCAAAAAAGGTGGAGCCCCCTGTAAAGAAGGCTTCACCAACAACACGCGATTCGTCTACGGAACGTCGTCCAGCCACAACAGAGGAGGAGGAGCCAACTGGCGATGATGAGGTCGGGATGTTGTATTTTCTTTAAAGTGAATTGACTAGTCGAAGATCACGTCTCGCTCTCGTCATTTCAGCTCACTGCTGATTGTTTTATAGTTTCGTTGTGCTAGTGTGATTCTCTTCTTTAGGGTTGAGGGAGAAAATTTTGTTGCTCCCCTATCCTATCCTTCGTTGGAAAAGTTTCTATTTTCAGTCTTTGAAACCTCCTGCAGGTGCTCCTCCAGTGAAAAAGGTTCCTGAAAAGAAAAAAGAGATCCCAAAAAAGGTATCATTTATGAAGTGCGAAAAACAGTATTTCTGCTGTAACACTGCATGCAATTTCAGGTAGAAGAAGAAGAAGAGCCAGTGAAAAAGCCACCAGATGAGTTGCTAGCAACAAACGATGAAAAGCAACTGCGCATAAAGGAGGAACGTACCTTGAAAGTGCGTATTGGAGATAGAAAATGCTAATTTATCATTCTAAACTCTGCTAACTGCTAACTTGCTATTCTTTTGACCCAGTGAGTTTGGTTGCAGACTCTGAAGTGGAATTTCACGCTCCCAACAGAAGAACATACGGCGCAGCTGCAGGAGCAACTGGGTCGTCATGCAAAAGCTTCTCTTATGGCAATGCTGTACCATAAAGATTTCAAGCAACACCTGAAAGCCATTGAATTACTAAGCAAGGTATGTCGGCACAAAATTGCGATGTCACGGTCTTCTCACGTATCGTCTTGTTGTGATATGAGTACGTTGTGAAAGTAATCAAAGTTTGAAATGATCGGATAACATCGGGCTTTCAAATTTGATCGATAACATTCAGAGCGCAGAG